ACCTCCTGGAGGAAGGTATTGGGAATCCATAGTCAGGCTGGAGGCAGAAGAAGGTTCAGCAGTACTGGGGCAGTACAGGAACCTGCACAGATGGCCAAGCAACTTCAGGAGACTCAACCTCACAGTGAACAAAACTGGAGCTAGGACAGAGGTATCCAACAGCTTACTGTACCTTTCTAGAGGCCAAACCCAGCTTCCTCCTCAGCACTTCGCCAGCATAAAGGCAGAAGGAGGGACCTCCTTTTGACTTCACCTCAGGACTCTACTTTCCTAGCTCACTTCCTGGTCCTACTTATAACCCCTAGGTAGTCACCTGCTCCAGGCACTTGAAATTAGGCTTGAAAGTCCTTTAAAATTTCCTGAAGGGAACAGAGGAAACGAAACAAGTCTGAATCCATGCTTTGCTTCCCATCTGCAGAAAACTGAAATGTCAAAATTGCTAATTCAAGATCAGGAGAGGGGCTGGAGAGATGGCTCAGTGGTCTAAAGCACCTACTTAGAACAAGCTTAGCAAAGCATCAGGGACCGCGGTTCAATCCCCCAGCACATGCCAGCCAGCCCCGCCCCCTGGTGGGCTGAGCTGGCCACACACACACACCACTCTCTCTCTCTCTCTCTCTCTCTCTCTCTCTCTCTCTCTCTCTCTCTCTCTCTCTCTCTCAAATTAAAAAAAAAAAAAAAAGCACTGGTTTAAAAAAAAAAAAGCTGATCTAAATGTTTCACTATCAGTGAACACTTGATTGGTTCCACCTTGCTAGGACTCAACATAGGTCTAAAATCTATGCAAATCATACCAACCACAGAAATGCTTGGATTCCCTTGACCAAAAGCCAGCAAGGTACATATTCTGCCTGTTCCTTCTGTACTCAGGTTTCACCAGCACATTTTTTTTTTTTTTCCCAAAATACAACCTTTTTTAGTCCTTTTGAGATAGGGTTTTGCTATGCATTTCAGACTGGCCTTAAACTCACTTTGTAGCTAAAGCTGGCCTTCAATTCACAGCAATTCTCCTGCTTCAACCTCCAAGTGCTGGGATTACAGGTGTGCACCCCACAGTCAGGAACACTTTTTGAACCTCACTTGTTTCCTTTTGGTTTTGTCGTGCTGGGGATTGAAGCCAGGGCCTAGTGCATGCTAGGCAAGTTATAGAGCACTGAGCTACATGCCTAGGTTTTGGTTGTTTGAGACAGGGTTGTATTATATTGTCCAGGCTAGGCTTGAACTCACAAAAATCCTCCTGCCTCAGCCTCCTGAATGCTGGGATTACAGGCACATCCCACATTTTAAACTTCACTTCCCGAAGGGTAATTCTCCCCTACCATCTCAATTTCTTCAGAAAATGAGTTTTTTGTTTTGTTTTGTTTTGTTTTTTGCGGAACTGGGGATTGAACTCAGACCCCTTATTCTACTGAGCCATCTCTCTGGCCCCTTCAAAATTCTTAGGCCCCCAATTCATTAAAATTTTGGGATTATGAAGAACAGGGTCAGGGGCCAGGGAGATGGCTCAGTAGGATAAGTGCTTGACTGACAAACGCAAGGATCTGAGTTCAATCTCCGGTTCCACCAAAAAAAAAAAAAAAAAAAAATCAGGGTCAAAAATACGAATCATTATGAGCAGCCCAGACTATGAAACAATGTACTACTCAAAAGGTTTTGGGGGGCCAGGGAGATGGCTCAGCGGAATAAGCGCTTCCCTAGCAAGTGCAAGGGCCCAAGTTCAATCCCTGGTTCCGCAAAAAAAAAAAAAAAGGTTTTGGTATGTACTGACAAGAATTGAAACAAATCACCTCTTTAAAAAATAAGTTATGGGGGCCAGGGAGATTGCTCAGTGGAATAAGTGCTTCCATGGCAAGCATAAGGGTCTGAGTTCAATCCCTGGTTCCACCAGAAAAAAAAAAAAAAAGTTGAACTAAAAAATAAATTATGTGTGTGTGTGTTTGTATATATATATACACACACTTGGATCCCTTTGGAATAATTTTCCTTATTTTGGGTTGACATATTGCAATTGTAATCAATTTCTAGAGTACTAGATTTTTTTTTTTTCATGTATTTGGTACAGGGTCTCACTATGCAGCTCAGACTCCTAGTGATCCTATTCTCAGCCTCCCCAGCACAGGGATTATAGGCGTTCGCGGACTAGGGAGATAGCTCAGTGGAATAAGTGCTTGCCTGGCAAGCACAAGGTTAAGTTTGATCCCTGGTACCACCAAAAAGGAAAAAAAATACAGGCATTCGCCCGCACACTGTCTGGTGAGTCAGTGGCCGGCTCAGTCCACCCAGGGGCGGGTGCAGGGAGTGCTGGAGATGGAACCTTGGTCCCTGTGCTTGCCTAATCAAGCACTTAGTCTGTTGACTAGATGTTGTATTTTTGTTTTTAATTTTTTAAAAACTTTTAGGGGGCTTGTCAGTTAGCTCAGCTGTTTCAAGCACTTGCTCAGGCAAACTCAGTCAGGCACAGGGGACCGCAGTTTGATCCCCAGCCCACATGTGGCACCAGACCTGTCCTTAATGCAGCAGCCTAAGCCAATCAAAAAAAGAAAAAGAAAAAAATCCCAATTTTTTTTTTTTTTGGCAGAAGCGGGGATTGAACTCAGGCCCTTGTGCTTGCCGGGGAAGCGCTTACTCTACTGAGCCATCTCCTGAGCCCCAAAAGTCCTAATTTTTAACAACTTTTATTTATTTAGTTTGGTACAGGGTTTAATATGCAGCTCAGACTCATAGAATCCTATCTCAGCTGCCCCAGCACTGGAATTAGACATGCCCACCATGCATGGTACCAGGGATTGAACCTGGGTGCTTGCGCTTGCCAGGCAGGCACTTAGACTGCCAAACTATCTCTCCAGCCCAAGATAATTGTATTTTTTTTT